TTAGTGTATGGATCTTCACACACTGGGTTTGTGTATGAATCTTCACATAACGAGTTAGTGTATGGATCTTCACACACTTGGTTTGTGTATGGATCTTCACATAATGAGTTAGTGTATGGATCTTCACACACTGGGTTAATGTATAGATCTTCACACACTGGGTTAATGTCATGTGAACGAGTCTCAACCAATCACAGCTTGCGTAACAACAGTTAGTTGATAATCCACTATACAACGGAAACCCTGGGGTATTTGGCTGGTTATGCACGTGCTTTATAGACTTCGCGGAGAAAGAGGTGCACTTTTTGAAGTTTGCTTGTCCACGAAAACCCAAAAAAGTGTTTTTGCAGAGGGAGACCATGTTGTTATGGAAGTTCCACCTGAACCAAACACATCAAATGCATATAGGCGTTCGGAAAAGCACAAGACAGCGTGTCAAATTCCAGACTAAAAGTCAGTATCTTCAAAAAAATAAGGGTTTTTAATTTTTCCGAAAGTCCTCTTTTTATCGTAGATGGGGGTAAATTCTATCTTTAAAAATCAGTGGAAAGAAGTTGTTTTTGATTTTGCGGAACATTCGTATGTTCTATCTATACAATAGGCAAATCATCCCCTCGAAAGGAAACAAGATCAAAGTATGTTCTCGAGCAAATCTCTGTCCACAACCACACTCCCACCCGCGGCCCCTGAAATGTTCATGTATTTTTTTTCAGCTCCCGAGAGCAGGAGCTGTGTGGTGTTATTGTGTACTGTTCTTGCTAACTCACGGACTCGGCGTCGGGGGGGGGGGGAGGGGATGTTGGTGTCAAATGACCCGTGCATAAGTGTCGAGCAAAACTTCAATGAGTTAATAAAGTTGTATGAGAAACTCATTGAAGTCTAACCAGAACAGGGATGGCAGTTAAAATAAGTTCAAATACTTGAACATAGACATTTGTTCAGAACTTTTTGTCTGCATTTTACTATTTGACTCTTCTACCTACTCTGTCTAAGCAATGAAATTTGATTCGGCGAGCATTTTGCTTACCAAAATGTTGCTCAAGCTCAAATAGGTATCGAAAATATTTGTGTGTGACGTTTGTCCGTACAATGGTATTTTCATTGCATTCTTTAGGTATGGTATTTTACGGCCATGGTCAATATGGCGGACAGACGTATAGTGATGGGGGGCAACAACAGGCGTATACTGGTGGAGGGCAACAAGAGGCGTATAATGGTGGTGGGCAACAGACGTACAATGATGGTGGGCAACAACAGACGTATAATGGTGGCGGGCAACAACAGGCGTATACTGGTGGAGGGCAACAAGAGGCGTATAATGGTGGTGGGCAACAGACGTACAATGATGGTGGGGAACAGCAGACGTACAATGGTGGTGGGCAACAACAGGCATACAATGGTGGCGGTGGTCAACAGCAAGGTGCAGCTCCCAACAGTGGGCAGCAGTCTGTGGCCTTAAATGATGGACAATTCCAAGGTCAAGGAAACATGGCTGGAGGTCAGGTGGGCGGAGGTCAAACTCAAAATTATGGGCAGCAAACAGATGTTCACAGAGAGGAAATAGAATCTGAGGAGCATAAATGGTTGGATAATCACCATGACAATGCCGACGTCTTAGGCGGGGACGCGTCAGATCGATACCCGTAAGTATGATATTTAAATAATAACACATGTTTGTGAGGGTAATATCACGATTTGTTGCCTGCCCAAAGGATGGTGGTCATGGCCATATTATAGATGATGCCTAGGCCGAAGGCGAGGGCAGACATCCACCGTGCACAACTACACCTAATATAAACCTCTCACATCCGCTATCCCACAAAATAACTACACTTATATTTGAAGTATGTAACATTTTGTTTCATGTATTGTAAAGTGACATGACTCCATAGCATAAAATACATTGTACTTACACTGTTTGCTGAAAAAAAAACACTGTGAAATACACAGTAAATATTACTTTCAGCAGTGTGAATCATTCTATCTATCATGTATAAAATTATCGGAATGAATTGAGAACTAACTTCTCAATCGCAAGTTATTTCATGAGTCCCCAGATAAAAATGTCAGAAGTGACTGCTATGACTTCCTCACGAACGTACCACTCTTTTGATCTGCATTCAGCTTAGAGCGTTCTTGTCGAGCTTTCGTGTGGCATGTCTAGAACTGGTGTAGAACCCTCACTGAGTAGAACGCGCCACAGTGATCCCAGATGGAACGTTTCTGTGGTGGCTTCTCTGTACATATTTGCTTCATAGAATGAATATCATAACCATCAAAACGAAGTATCTTACTTAATATCCATCCTGTCACATTCACTGTCTATTTTGGGTGACTAATGTTGCTTCAATATCTTGAAAGCAACCCCGAAACCAACAGCATTTCCCAGTGAGCGTCTGCGTCACACGCCTAGATCCAGTGTAGAACACGCTGCAGCAGTCCTAGATGTGAAGTTTCAGTGGCCACTTTGAGTATCTTACTTAATATCCATTCTGGCTAGTTCGCTGTTTATTTTGGGTGACTAAAGTTCTTTGAAAGCAACCCTGGAAGTAACATTGACCAGGACAGCAGCAGTGCAGCAAATGACAATTGGTTATGTGCAGTATCATTTCGCAGTAATTTCAGTGATGTCATCCATGTGATATAGCATGTAATATCCAAATGGCTGGCAATATACCATGTAATATCCATTTTTATCAACCAATCACACCATGCGTAGCAACAGTGAGATGTGATAAACATTTTTTAGCACCATGTGTTAATTGCTATATGTCACTTATGTGGATCAACCTTCACACACGGGTTTGCGTATGACTCTTCACACAATGGTTTAGTGTATGGATTTTCGCACACAGGGTTTGTGTATGAATCTTCACACATTGGGATTGTGTGCGGATCTTCCCAAACCGAGTTTGTGTTCCATACACTGAGTTAATGTATGGATCTTCACAAACTGGGTTAGTGTATGGATCTTCATGAACTGGGTTAGTGTATAGATCTTCACACACTGGGTTAGTGTATGGATCTTCACACACTGGGTTAATGTATGAATCTTCGTACATACTGGGTTTGTGTATGGATCTACACACACTGGGTTAATGTGTGAATCTTCACACACTGGCTTAGTGTATGGATCTTTACATATACACTGGCTTAGTGTATGGATCTTCACACAAACCGGGTTAGTGTATGGATCTTCACATACACTCTGGGTTAGTATATGGATCTTCACACAAACTGTGTTTGTGTATGGATCTTCACATACGCTGGGTTAGTGTATGGATCTTCATATATACACTGTGTTAGTGTATGGATCTTCACACAAACTGGGTTAGTGTATGGATCTTCACACAAACAGGGTTAGTGTATGGATCTTCACATACACTCTGAGTTAGTGTATGGATCTTCATACTAACTGGGTTAATGTATGGATTGTCACATGTATACAGTATATCCTGGGTTAGTGTATGGGTATTCACACAAACTGGGTTAGTGTGTGGATCTTCACACAAACTGGGTTAGTGTGTGGATCTTCACACACAAACGGTAAATATGTGGATGGTTAGTGTAATGACTTTTGTTTTTCTACAAGATTTTGTGCAGACATACTGAGTCAAGGTACGTGTTATGACAGTATAACGTCTCCGAGTGAAAGAAGACCAACTTGTGGAAGTGACGGTAATCTCTATGCCAGCAGATGCAGGTAATCTATCCATTGTTGATCTTTTCCCGCCTTTGTCGTCATTGGTAAAGACTGGAGGTCAGGAAGGGTCTTATGCTGCATATTAGATTATGACATAATATAGTCTTCTGTTTGTTTTTTTCTGGTTAGTTATGCCTTGGCAAAATGCCAGAGTCTTCAGGCTGGTCTTGGGGATATGCATCGTGTGAAAGGTCAACTGGAAATGGAGGCGACTTGCTGCATGTACACTTGTCGAGAACAAGATGTTGACCGTGTGTGCGCCACCAACGGCCACATTTATCTTAATGATTGTTACCTGGCAAATCGTATTTGTGAAATTGACAGGGAAACTGGCACTGAGGTTAGTTGATTGATTGATTAATTGTTTTATTGCCTAACTAACTAAAATATATTTTTTAAATGTGCGTCCTACTAAAGTACTCAGTCTTTAAAGTCGTATTATGGGATATATTTTTGATATATGAAGTACTTTTTGATATGAACCAAATTAAACAATTACGATATCCTTCACAGGATAGCAATGTCAAATATCAATCACAAACAACAGATAGATAAATACAAACACAAACATACACCATTCCAATAAATGCTGCCCTCTAGTGACAAAGAAGTTTTGTGATGTCAAAATGTTGGATTAATAAATAAGTTAAATATTCGACTACAGTGTTTGAATAAGTTGTTCGTTCGTTGTTGAGTTGTTCGTTATCTATTGGTAAAATCTCCAAGGATGAACAGACAGATAAATGGTGATTAATGAATTTTCACAAAAACACTGGTAAACTGAGCGAGAGTATAACTTATTAGCAACTTATAATAAAAAGCGGGAGTCACCAACCTCGTTTTTGAGAAATTCAGTTAATATACAGGTTTTAGAAGGAAATAATAAGACATAATCTTTTATATATATATATATATATATATATAACATATATATAACATTATATATATTATTATTATATATATTATTATTATATATATATTATATTATTATATGTTATATATATAACATTGCCATTTTTCCATTTTTATGAAACTCATGGTCATATTGGGACATGTAGAGTCTCCAATAACTTACAGATTCCGATTAAGTAGCCACTCATTGAAAATTAAATGCGGTCGCCTTTCATATGTAAACCAATGAATGAAAGAATCCGTGAACACTGTGACGGAAATTACATCGAATGTGTACTGAAAGGCAAAGAAAGAAATTGCTTAGATGCTGGAAAAAACAATAATACATTTTATTCAATTTGGACAGTAGTCCCCGATTACCTTCAGACCATTTACTATATATTATATTCATCGGCTCTAGCAGCTTTCATGTATTTTGCAGTTGTTAACACACTATTGTTTAAAAATAATTGTCGGCAGATTGTGGAAGCGTCATCCATGGACGACTGTGCAGTTGCACTCAAGGTTGCTGAGATCAATGGAATGAAATGGATATATAAAATTGCACATCAAAGCATTCTCGATCAAGTGACACCGACAGAAGTTGAGGCGTTCGTTACCGACGAAAAATCGATAGAAGGACCGAAACCTCCTGCTGATGTAATTTGGGACACTTCATTTTACCATCCCGATGCTTGGGAATATAATACTAACGGTGGGCAGTTTAATCAACACAATAATCAACCCAATCATAATGCCCAACAAAACGGCCAGTACAACCAGCAAGGAGGTCCGCAGTATGATATGTACAACGCAGGTGGTCAGCAGAATGGTGTACAAAGTGGCGGTAGTCAGTTTAACGGTGTACAAGGTGGAGGGCAACAAAATGGCATCACGGGAGGTGGCCAGGGTGGTTATATGCAAGGAGCTGACGCTGTGCAAGGTGGTAGTCAGTTTAATGGTGTACAAGGTGGAGGGCAACAAAATGGCATCACGGGAGGTGGCCAGGGTGGTTATATGCAAGGAGCTGACGCTGTGCAAGGTGGTAGTCAGTTTAATGGTGTACAAGGGACTGGACAACAAGGCGCTGCAGTGGGAGGCGTCGGCCAGGGTGGCCAAAGTGATTATATGAATGGAGGTGCTGGCGCAGGTGGTCAGTATAATGGTGTACAAGGGGGCGGATATAACGGTCTGTCGGGAGGTGCCGCCTCCAATGGCGGTCATACTGGTCAGCAAAATCAATATACGAACTATTAAACGAAATGACCGGTTTGAACCAAATGTGTGCAAGTAGTAGCGTGGATAGTCATTTTTTCGTTTGTCTTCATCACCCAGTGCGGCGGGCATAGTCAGTGTAGTCACGTGGTCCTCCAAATTGTGACGTGTTGTTATTTTTTTTATACAGTTAATAATGTAATGGACTGAGGGGTCCAGATAATATGAACAATTGACTCAACTTAAACATAGTATGTTTATTTTATTTTACATTTTCACTTGGTTTGTTATTGAGGTAAGTGTCTACAAACTAGACTAAATGTATTGTTAAATGTATTGGGAACTGGCCTTGTGTATGTTATTTTCGTTTTGTCACGTGATTGTTATTTATTTTCATAAAAACTATATTATTAAATTGTCTAAATATGTGAATTATTTTGCCCTTAATCATATATGCTTGCTGTTATCTATAATTGTAAATAATTAAGTATCGAACGTTATAATGAGGCCCAAAACAGTAGTCGATGTTATGCGTTCAAAGAACAGAGCCTCTCTAATTGGATTTGCCGTGTTCATCATATCCAAACCGAATACAACGTGGTATTTAATAAACACGTTCCATCACCCTGGCGGTTCGAATATTCATAAATTTACCGGTTAAGCGCCCTCTTTCGATGCAATGCAACCCAGTGACCGTTGGAATATATATTTACATTCATCAGTTATTGGGAGAAATATCAGAAACATGATTTATTCAAGAAGAGGGTGATTTGGCATGTGTATTTAAGATTAAACCGCACGAAGGTTTAATGGTACATTGTTATAACACATTTTAATGCAAATAAACAGTATGATAAGAAACTTGAAAGTTGTGAAATGCGATTGTTTTAAAACACAGTTGGCTACTGATGCAAACAGATTGACCTCCTAGTTGCACGTTATTTTCATAATGGATTCTGTTACGATATTGTAATTAGTATTCATAACGATGATATTATGCACCCGGTTTTATGAGTCTGTATTTTCATTTGGATTGCAATGACTCATTTCACTCGCCGTTCAAAATATAGACTTCGGAGTAGTCCTCGGAAACATATGCCAAAGGCGAAAGTTTGTGTTCTAAATGACGTGCAACGCCCATGCTCGGGTCAAAGGTGATTTGGTATTTCCATACTTGAATCAATTGTATAATCCATCTACTAAGTATATTCGACAGTTGAGTGGCACTTAAGTCGACAGATGGCAGGGCGTGTTCAAAGTTTGGGTATTCCATCAAATTTATCCAGCGCTTCTAATTTTATATGCCAGCTCCATACCTCTTTTCAATTACTTTAACGAAATGAACATTGGTCTCCAGCAAAATGTAATTTACCGGTCTCGCTTAAAAAAATCGGTTGGCTGAAATTAGACAGCATATTAGTGATAATTTGATCGTTGCTAATTGAATGAACGAGTTCATATTTCTTCCCGGTATATACTGTGAAAAAAAGTTATCAAAATTAGTTAATTTTGCGAAAAGTCATTGTTATCCGCAATGCTTGAGGCGGCGTAACCATTTTACGAAGTGTGCAATTTACACTAATACTTTTACTCCCAGGGGGCAATGATATGAATCAGGTTACTACAAATGGCGGAGTTTTAAACCGATTTGTCGAAAGGTAAATAGTTGCGCGTTTCACCGTGACTCATGTTGTCATACGTGATATCCCGGGGTCCATTTAAGAATATGGTGTTCTGTGTATTTCCGTCAGTGAGGAAAGCTTGCAGTTCATTCACTTCTGCTGAATTGAATGAGGTTGGCCTTCAGTGTAAAAGTCACAAATTTCAATCACAAATTGTCACAGGTGCTGGGATTTACAAGTCAGCCAGTGCTGAATTGTTAATGTCTGTTGTTGTAACAAAGTGACTTATTCTCATTCGCGGAGTCAATTGTCGTAAACATGGCAGGGGTTGGTACCAGTGTACGTTCTACACATATTGTCAAAATGGGCATAATGTCCAGCATACAAATTGTATTGGCAACAACGTTAACTTGACAATGAGGAATTCTGTTGAAAAGAAACGTTCAAATTAATGGAAAGATAAATATTAATTTTGAAGAGTAGATCGTTGGTGCAGAGTGGGGTTGCGTGAGTAGTATTCGTTAAATCGACTTAGACTAAATGTTGGCCAGTATACAGTTTATATACTGTAAAATACTTAATTTTCGCTATTTATGCTGAAGGGATGACTCAGTGAATTCAAAATAAAATCCAGCCAATATACCGTTTTTACTTTACATTCAACTCGTTAAAAAACAGTGAAAATAAATTCCATAGAAAACATCCGAAAAGCCATGAAAATTAATTCCAGCTAAAATAAACGAAGTACTAGCATTCTACAGCACTATGAAAACTGTGGTCACGTGTTCTCTACGCCGATATTTGTACTCATACTCGAGTCTCCCGTTAAGTAAGATTATAACAAATCCACCTAGACCTCTCCGTATTTGATAGCTGTTGGCATATGCGTAGTAGATGTTGTGCGCCACCAAGCGGTGGTATGCATGAACCTAATAATTTCGTAATTTGTTGTTTCTCTTCATGGAAGAAGATCTAAGATCCATGTACTGTATATTTGCAGTAGTCTACCCCATTCTATAAAAATAATGATCTGTCTCTTATCGTGTCCGTGTGTTTCAATGCATTGACAACAACATCTAGGTATCATGCATCTCTGTAACCTTGCATGAAAGGGTTTATTGCATAAAAAGAGACGGTACATTTTTTTCTACGTAAAACATTCAGCCTTGTATACACGGTAGCCTGCAAGTGCATGAGGTTTTATAATTACTGTAAAATACTTTACAAATACTTTATAAAATACTTTATTTTAGCTGGAATTAATTTTCGCTGAAAAGGTTTTTTGGTGTGTTTTTTATGGAATGTATTTTCACTAATGTCTGATGAGTTGAATGTGAAATATAGGAAAAAAGGTGTATTCACTGGATTTTATTTTCACTGAATCACGCCTTCAGTGAAAATAGCGAAAATATATTCCAAGCGAAAATAAAGTATTTTACAGTATTCTAAGCACTCTGAAAGGAGAACAGGGAGAACGAAAACAACAGTAAATTGAGATGTTTTATTTCCAGATTGACATCAGCCTTATTTAAAATAAAATTCTTTCTTTATATCACACGGAGAAATTCCCAAGTTAAGTCATCTTGATTATCGCACGCGTCCACTGCGCTTCGAGCAATTTGCGGAGAAGTATCATTGATCTTCATAATAAGAGCACTGTTTGTACGAGCGATCCCATATATACCAGAACACGGTTGCGGGCAATAGTCTAATTTCGCGTAATGTTACAAACAACGCAGCTCCAGTAAAGAGTAAACGGTCTATTATTTATCGTACTATTGAAATAAATCCGCGGGCGAAACATCATTGGTTATATGACTATTACTGTACGATGTCGGTCCTTAATATCCGTGACTCAACTTAGCTGTATACCTAGACGTTATTGATTTATAATTAAGACTAGAGTTTCTTTGTCTAATATCTGCAAGGCACAATTTACTTCAGTAATTTTCAAATAAAAATGCACGTACGACCAGTAAAGAGTTTTTGCTGATCACCCCAGGCAACGTGTCTCAGTGCGCTCATTTGCATAAATATTCCGAATAATTTACATGACAATTAAGTGGTAAAATTATCGTACTGTCGTTGTTCATTCTTTTTTTCCACGGTTTTTTTTTTTATTTTTGAAACGAAGCATATTTTTATTTTCGGATGTGAAATGATTAATTGCGTGTTCCTGGCGCCATGAGATTGTCAGATCGCGCGGCGTCGTTTGACTCCCACGGCGACACCGTTGATTCGGAAATTATGATTCATTAAGTAGTTGTTCCACGAAATATTCCGAGTCGTTTACAGCGCTATTCCACTGGCACTATCAAAAGTCAGATTTTAGATTTAATTCATGATAACAAAAATAACACCATCAGTCACGATATTTAGGTGGAAGTTTGTAACCCTGTGTTATCAGACAATCATTTGAGATATGACATCAACTACGTACCATAAGAACCAATGATAAAAATGATAAAAATGTTATAATGCCGTATATTGTATTTTCATTAAGGAGAAGGATTCTATGAATGTTTGAAATATATTGAACTCTGCAGACAGGCTTTGCGACAATAATATAACTAGAAATATTTAAAAAAAACAATAATTACAAATATAATATGTTTCCCACGAATATACTAATAAATTGATAAAATTAAATGATATGGACTCAACAAAAACAATATATTTTGAACTCATATGTAAAAGGTGCTTCTGGCAAACTAATAATGTGGTTGTTGATAAATTTATTATGAACTGGAAGGGAGCTCCAGTCCTTAAATATCATACAGAAGTCTAGGATCGGTGCTAGAATAAGTACTTGTATAAAGCCAATGATCTTAAACCGTGGCATGATAGGCCAATATTGTACGATAGTGTTGGGACATGTCCCGGGGTTATGTTAATCAGGTTCCAAATCATGTCTGAATCCAGACACATGACGCGAACGTTTGGAGGCCGACATTTTACGAGTTCAGTGTGTGTGAGGGCACGGGGTTGTACGTGATTCGACCATAGCAGATTCAATCTACAATAGATAGGTACATAGTAACAGTATAGTGTGCTACATTATGCCCCGGGCATTTGTGTTCGGAGTGAAAAGTACCACGTGTCACAACTGTCAAAATATACACCATCAATCATACCGCAGGGATAGCCCACAGTGCACTGCGAGTTGATGTATATATTCAGCGGATAGAATTAAAAGCCTCTGCCACAATGCATTCATACCAACACGTTGCCCATGTAGTTGCCTTTTGTACGGGCATTAATGGTGCTAAATGGGCTGAATTAACGTGTTACTCTACCCCATTAGACTTGGAGTGCCACGCTCCAGAGGATGTGTCGCTGCTATAACCAAGTATGTATCACATCAGAACTTAAGCGAACCTGGTCGGAGACACATGCTGTGCACAAGTTGACATTTCATGA